ACCCAGACTATTTGATTTTTATCAAATTTAAGGCAATTGTAACAGAAAATAAGGATAATTTTAAAATACTTAACTTTAACATATAATAATTATAGAATTATACTCGAATATATGAATCAACCAATGTAAAAACTATTTAATCAATAACAAGGATGATTACAAATCTTCTCTAATGTGCAATTCTTTATATCTTGGCAGCAAACGATTTTAAAATTTAAATGCGGCATGTTAAAGAGTAGGGTAATAAACGCATTTTCAATATTTTATATTTATAAGTCATCTTACCCATCTAAAGCCAACCACGAGATTGTTCCATCAGTCATACCACATAGTACAGCTGATGAATTAGGAACAACTTGGAGACATGTAGGTACAGCTGGAGTTTCTAATGTTGACAAGACACGACAATGTTCTAAAACCCGTAGAGCTCTTCCAGAACATGCTAGTACAACTGTTAAACGTGGCGAATTCTGTGAATAAACAGTGAATAAATATTTCAGACCAAGAAACTAAAATAATGATTAATTATTTAAATATATGAAACTTGTTATAAAAAAATAACTTGAAACAAAGATGAATTTTTTTAAAATATATGAAAAAAATGAATAAAATTTTTGGTTACCAGGTCTGGACGTACAGCTACCACATCCACTATGGAGTCCCCGCACAAGTAAGTTCCAGCATCTTTACAGTCCTTGAAATGGCCCATTATATGATTTCCACATACAAGAAGATCACTACCACTTACAAACCTAGAAAATGAATTTACTTTTTCAATAAACAAAGTTATAAATTAGTACATCATACAATTTTTTATTATCAATTTGAGTCAACTGAAATTAACAGCTTCCAAAGCTCAACATACATAGATCTTATAGGCTCTGTAAGGTTAGTATCAAATCCAAGAAACTGTTTTCCGCGTTTTGTAAAAGCTCTGACCTCATTGCCTGATGCTATAAAAATTTTATCAGCAGGAGTACCTAAAAAGTTGTATAAGTAAAAGAAACCGAATAATTGAAAAAAATTTCAAGTTCCTTACCGAGCGCTCCTCCTAATTGCATAGAAGTAATTTCAGGACCAGGAATGGTTTTAAATGTTACCTGTAATGCATTTTTGTTAAATACGAATAATGAAATATAAATATATATTTAACCCATTACAAAAGAATGGGGGTAAAGAATGTACGAGCTAGCAAGCCGCCTAAGTATTTTTTACACAACATTTTCTAAGATTTTCAATTCATTTTCAGTGAAAATAGATTTAATAACTTTAAAATTACACTTTTAAAGAGCTATATATTACAATAATAAACTAGATTTCTCAATAATTCAATTTGGAGTAATAATTCTTGAAAATAAAGTCGACACACTCGATGTCGTCTATAGATGACACTCGTACACACAGGTCGCAAAGCGGACACTTGTTACAAAAGGGTTAAATATAAATAAGAATGTTTATGCAAATAAAAATATTATAGAATATAATTTTAACTGTAGGGTAAGTAAGTGGAAATGAAAATTTTTGCATATCTTTACGTTTCGGAGGTTTCTGAATATTTTGGCATTTCTCAGAAGAAATGGATGTGTGTGTGTCAGTTTTGTATGTCCGTAATATTTTGTCCAAGTTTTCGGGCAAATACATTCGATTCCTTTTGGTAGAGAGATGTGCTAATTTGTTTTTGGCAAAGGCCGACCTAGCCGTTACGGTGATACGGAGCAAAGAGCAGTAGTTCAATAATTATTATGAGTATTTATAAGTAGAGTAATTCCATTTCATAGAATATATTGAAAATATAATCTTTAATTTAAATAATAATATATATTATTTAATTAAAAAAAAACTTCAAGATATTATTTAATATATTTATGACTAACTTAGTATACCATACTTGCATTTGTATACATTACTGTAGCATGAATCGTAATCCTATACCGATATACTATTATTATGTATATTTTTTATCAATCTATATTTTATTTATTTAGTGGTCTTAATAATTAATATTAATAATTAATAAATTATTAATGATGATTAAATCATGTAATATACTTGTGCAATATATAAATAATATATATTTAATTATATAAAAATATAGTTATTATACATATACATATAAATATATAATTATTTAAAATATAAATGTATATATCTTGTGTTTTATTAAATATGTTTTAATTTATCAAGACGCGCGGCGAGCAATGCTGTTGCTAGTCGTTGCGAATGAGAGACGACTTACACGGGCGCTATATGAGCGCGAGCATGTACTTGCTCAGGTTTTTTCTAATTTTGAATGTGTTCTACCACATGAAATAAAACAAAATTTTGCACACCAAAAGAAAATTCAATAGCCCTTCTAATGATGCTAATTAAAAATTAGTCCAAACAACCGCACTACCCGAAAATTCAAAACAAAAAATTATTTTCACTTTTTCTCACACTAACAAATAATTTTTTCACATTATTTGTTATGAACAATATAGACAAGATCAGTATAAATAGAATGACGTTAACATTTTTTCAATATCTCTCATATTTCCGACAAAAAGTGAGTTTTAAAAAAGGGGCCACTTTCACATGTTTTCACTGATATCTCGGCCAAATGATAAGCTACGGATTTGAAATTTGGTATGTCGTATTTTCTCGAAAATACCTATAAAATGACATCAAAATTATTTAAATACCAGGGTGGGGCCAATTCTGTATGGAAACACGCCCATACCCTTTATCCAAAAACGCTCTGCTAATATAATCAAATAATAAAAGAAAAATTAAACTTAATTGAAGGAAAGGAATGAAGAACTGTTAATATAATAAAATAAAAAAGTAAAATTGAGTTATGAAGAATTTGACTTGCATTTGCATAAACATCTGTATTTTAGTATTAACTTTATACAATCTTAATAAAATGCCATACCTCGATTTCATCATTATTTAATCCAAACACTTGCAAGACCCCATCTTGCCCCCCGACTGCAATTTTTTGCTTTTCATTAATTTGGGCGTTTGCTGGTGGCAACAACATCATGGTGTGCGGATGGGTCATACCCACCAGAGCATAATCCACTCGAAATAACTCCATATTATTTCACTGAATAAATATTCTATAAAAAAGATTGTGTTCTCAAAAATATAAAAAATATACTATAATTTAAAACTAGTACATGATATGATTATAAAACATGATGTTTTGTCATATGAAATGTCATTCAACAAATTATACATGCAAAATTAAAGCTAATTCAAAAGCACATGTTTCAAATGGTAATATTCTAATAAAATGTATGTAGGTTATATAGGTTTAATAAAATCTTCGTTTCTTTACAAGATGGATTTCAATTCAGTTGCCATAGAAATAATGCCACAAACAAAACAGTAAAGCACAAAATAAATAATATTGATCAAAACTGTTACTTTTTTAATATAAATTTAATTTTAATTCATTCGAAGATAGTAGAAAATAATACAGACTGTATTGTTATAGTGTATACAGTACAGTACTTTTCCCACGTTATTTTTGACCATTTTTTAAAATTATAACCATTTTCATGGCAAAATTGCTGTTAATTATTGAGTGAGAAATTTATATTAAAATCAATAAGTGCTGGAACTGAATTTTTTCTTATGCACAGAATAAAATCTAAAATATATTTTAAATCAACTACTTCCAGAAGTAAAAAAAAGTGAAAACTAGTGGTGCATGGTATCGTGCCTTAAGGCTAATTGATGAAACTTCCCGTACCAAAAACTTAAATTTTTATAAACGCTAAAAAATTTTGAAAACTTTGAAAAAATTAAGCTTTTGAATTATAGTGTAACTTTTTAACTTTTTTTCAAACGAATAAACATTGGTACGGAACCCATAGTTTGTTATTACTAAAATATCTGATAATTTGATGTGCATATGTCCCATCATCATTTTTGATCACCAAACGGCATTTTTTAAGTTTTTTTATTGAACCTCAGTAACTGCTGGACCTGCCTTCTTTAAAATTTATAAAGTTCTTCGTTTTATTATTGAAATCAGACGCTCCGTTCTCACAAAAACTGAATCATCAATTTTGGAACTTTTTGCCCCGTATTTTTGAAACGGTTGGACCTTTGCCTTTGTCAAAAACTAATTAGCACGTCTCTTTATCAATACGAATCGCATGCTTTTTGAATTATTCAACCTGACAGAAATTTGTATACTATTTGTACACTCACACACACATAGAATAATTTTATTTATTTTTCTAAGGTATGGCAAAATGTTAAAAGAAACCTTTGAAAAGTAAAGATATAAAAAAATCCATTTTCATTTTTTCTGCAATTACTGTAACTTACCCTAAGGAAAGTTAATGAGTTTTTTTTTGAACGATGAATGCATATTAATGCATTTTTAAAAAGGACGAAATTTTATATCTTTTCTACTGACGTTTATTAAGGTTTAACTATTGAAAACTATTTTTTGCTAGAATTAAAACTAAACTAGGTGTAAGTGGCATTTGTCTCAAGGTAAATTGCAAAAATTTGCAGATATGTGCGTATATAATTAATTTGATCAATAAGATTTTAAATTTAGTAATTTTGGAATTGTCATAATATATTTTTGAAATTTTGACAAGGATCATTATCTTTAATCAATTTTTATAATAAAACTTCTTTTCGCAGATTGTGATATATAAACCAAATATTTTTTTTAATAATCAATTTTTACCAAAAAGTATTCAGCACGATTCCCTACTGATATATTTCGAATGATTTTCAAATTTTTAAAAAAGATTCAGGATTTTTGCGAAAAACCATAAACTTCTTTAAAAAGTCAATTAAATAAAACAGACGTACAATATATAACCAAATATGAAATTTTAAATAATTTGAATTTAGCGCCTACAATATGACAACCATGTTTTATCTTTGTTACAAACCTTCCAATCTTCTACATGAAGGTAAAAATCCAAAATATGCTGTTATTTTTATCCGCATATTTGACATATGCCATAAAAAAACAAACGACATATTTTAGGTAGATTCTATTTTTAAATAAACTTTGTATATATAAATAAATATTTAAATCTATAAATTAATCATATTGATAAGAAAAGAAATGAGTGAAGAGCAAAACTCTAGCACTAAGACAAAAATAGCGGTACGTCGTAGTTTATTGTATAAATAATTGATTCTAAATTTGTATTAGCATTATTATTTTTTTATTTAATATAATTTTAAAATATAGTTTATACATATTTAAAATCATAAAGTCATAAATGAATATTGCATTGCTATAGAATTATGCGCTCTCTTTTATGTTTCATTCCACAAAGGAGCCCCACTATTTAAATATACATATATCATTTTTATTCATATACTTTTTATACATATTTTATGCTCTATATATGGGTTTAACTAGAATTATATATTTATCTTAATAGGTTAAACCAAAAATAAGACATGATTGGTATCAAACAGAAACCGATGTCACTGTCACTATTTTGTTAAAGAACGTGGACGAATCAAAATTAAAGATTGATTATGGATCAACATCTGTAAGTACATCAATACTTTCTAAAAAATATAATTGACACAGGTTTTATAACAAAGACATATATTGCTACTCATTTGATTCTAAAAATGTGATTGTTCTAAACAGTAATGAATTGTGAGAAATGTATATGATTTATAACTTAAGCTATAATAAGCTTTGTTTCTATATTATGGATCATAGAATGGAAGAACTGAAAAATTATTTTCCCTGAAATTACTTTTATTTGAATGGAATATACAACTAGATATGATAAATTGATCAAACTAATTGATTAATACAACCTAAAGTTGCTTGATATTTTAAATCATATTTATTTTCGACAAGGAGTTATCAATAGATTTACTTTATATATCACTAGTTCTAGTTTATAAAAAAACTATTTTTAGCTTCATGTTAAGTATGAAGAAAATGAACTCGATTTTCGACTCTTAAATGGCATAGTACCTATATATTGCACACATAAAGTGACTCCATCAAAAATAGAAGTGAAACTTGTAAAAGCAATTGGCATAAGATGGGAAAAATTAGAAGCAGATGCAGGTATATAAGCAATGAAATTTTACATATACTTTGCTTTTGATACAATAATACAATTTTTATTTAAAGTGAATTTAACATTTTTTTAGAATTACCAAAACCAGTCAACCCTACCAAAGCAAATGAGAAATGGGAACAAATTGCAAGGGACTTTGAAGAAGAGAAACCTGAAGGTGATGCTGCTCTGAATGCTTTGTTCCAGAAAATTTATGGAGAGAGCAATGAAGATGTTCGCAGAGCTATGAACAAGTCATTTGTAAGTATTTTATATTTGTAAATAATACTATAATAAAATAAAATCTTCAGTAAACTTTTGTATAAGGGTTGATGTATATTTTGTACTGATTACATGTACATTGCTATATTTTCTAAATATTTCAAAATATTTATATAATTGGTACCTTGGAGAATAGAGGAATTGTGCAGAATGAATTATCTTGGTAGAGAGCAATTAAACTAAACCTGATTGATAGTAAAATGTAACCTTTAAACTTGGTAGTAGCACTGCTGAAATTTTATAAGTGGTTTATTCTAAAGTTGCTCTAATGTTAAAAATGAATTAGTGAATAAAAGGTACTTTTGGTCTAAAAGTATGACATTGATAAAGCCATTATATAAGCAGTTATATAATAAAATCTGTATATAATGTATTACAATGTTTAATTAAAATTCATTTATTTTATAGATGGAATCAGGTGGTACAGTACTGAGCACAAATTGGAACGAGGTGGGCAAAGAGAAGGTTGAGGTTCGTCCACCAGATGGAATGGAGTATAAGAAATGGGATTCATAAATTTATTTTTTTAAAACGATTAAGAAATTCTTAAATTTCATTGAGAGAAATCATTTTATGTAAATATCATTTTTCAAATATATTAATGTTTATAAAGCCAAATCTTATCTTTTTTTTTAAATAAAAAGGCGTTGGAAATAAAATAATTGGAAATTTGATATTAAACCCATAATATAACTGTGAATTTGATTGAAATTTCTTTAAGGATATCTGATTAAAATAGGACAATTGAAAATGAAGATTATTGAACTGCATTTCTATCTAAATAAATATGTTAAAAGTAAATGGATATGCATTAGATATTGAATAATGTGTGTAAGTTTTCAAGTTCTGACATATTGAAAAAAATAATTTATCTGATTTCAAAGATTTATAAAACTTTGCATTGTTATTGATCCTGCTACATGCCCACTGATTTTTAGGGATCACATCCAGCCATTATGTTATGTCCTAAAACTAATGACTGGAGTATTTACCATACACTTAAAAATTTTCATTTCATTTTTATATAGATTAATTTAAAAATCGATGTATATATTTTTTGTTCATAAAGTTCACGATCTTGAAAAAAAAAATTAATAAACAATTAAGTAAAATATATTTTTTTAAATTTTTATTTTATTTTAAAATTTTATGTTTTTAATGTTTTATGTATTTAAAAAAAATAAAATTATTAAAATATACAAAACTTTATGAATTTGAAAATGATTTATTAAAATAATAATTTTATTCATGCAATATTTGTAGGATTTACGCCCAACCCAACATAATGGATTGGATATTACAATATAATAACAATAGAAAAAGTATTGTCAAAAATTAGGATCGTTTATTATTATTATATTGATAAGGAACCATTAATCTAATTTAATAAAAAACTAGTGGTGTATGGCATCGTGCCTTAAGGCACATTGCTGGAACTTCCCGTGCCGTAACGAAATAGTCAAGAAATATTAAATGTTTTCAAATAGATTATTATAAATATTGTAACATTGTCTAATATTTATAAGAATTATATAAACTGAATTACAAAGTTAAAATTATTCACTTAACGTATATAAGTGAGCTTTAAAACTTTAACCAAAATTAAAATTGAATTCTGAATTACTTTCGATATTCAAAAAAAAATTGAAATGATTTTTTTTGTCTAAAAACAATTATTTTGTCAAAATAAGCAGAAAGTTTTTTGAATCATTCAAATCGGATGCTCCGTTCTCTCAAAAACTCGATTTCTATTTTCTGCACTCTTTGCTCCGCATCTCCTAAACGGCTGGACATGCCTTTGTCAAAAACTAATCAGCACATCTCCCTATCAATAGGAATCGAATGTTTTTTGAACCATTCAAATCGGTTAAAACGTGCGCCCGAAAACGTGGACGAAAAATTGTATCCATACATATATACACACACACATACACATATCTATTTTTTCTGAGTTATGCCAACATGTTCAGAAACCTTTAAAACGTGAAGAAATGTGAAGATTTTCAATTTCGATTTTTGGACGATTATAATAACTTACACTACGGGAAGTTAAATTGTAAGTTTAAAATAGTGCGAAGACCTTTGCCAAAACCGTTAAGTACTAAATTATTAGAAAACGATTATCATTCTCAATCGAATTCGAAAAATGAACTCTTCTGAAATGTTTCGGATAAATGGCACGAAAATCGTAAAATTAGTTCAGGTAGGTGCAAATATTTTCAATATTTTAGATGACTGCTATAAATGCCTGGATATTTTACAAGGAAACGGCAGGAATCATAATACAAAGGAAGCAGCTTTTGTTTCAGGACAAAACTAGCTGTAAGTGGAATTCTGTCTTAAGGCAATTAAGGCATCGTGCCTTAAGGCAAATTGCTGAAACTTCCCGTACCAAAAATTATTTTTTTTTAAAAACGATTAACATTTTTGAAAAAAATTTATTCGAAAAAATAAGATGGACAAATTGGACAAAAAATTACTTTTTTTAAAAAAAAAAAAAATTTAAATTTCTTTTTTTTTTGAAAAAAAAATGTTTTCTTTATTTTGACATATTTTGGAAGATCTGACCTTTTTTCAAAGCAATCGTACTGCTTTAACTGCATAAAGACGAAATATCAAAGCGCGTAAGCGCCGCGTCGCCGTCTAACGCGTAAACATTGGTACGGAACCCATAGGAATGTAAACAAAATCCATACTTATTGTTAAAATCTCTATAAAATATCTGATAATTTGATGTGCATATGTCTAATGATCATTTTTGACCGCCAAATGGCATTTTTTTTTACTTTTTTCATTAGATCTCCGAAACCGCTAGACCTGCCTTTATGAAAATTTGGTAAATTCTTCATCTTGTCAATACAAGTAAAACGTTTTTTGACTTATTCAAATTGGACACTCCGTTCTCTTAAAAACTGAGTTACCGTTTTCGGCACTTTTTGCCCCGTATCTTTGGAACGGCTAGACCTGTCTTTGCCAAAAACTAATCAGCACGTCTCCTTATCAATACGAATCGAATGTTTTTTGAATTATTCAAATCGGTTGATCCGTGTTCCCGAAATCGTCGACGAAAATTTGTATCCGCACATACATACACACACGCACATACATACATACATACACACACACACACACACACACACACACATACATCCATTTTTTCTAAGGTATGCCAAAATGATCAGAAACCTCTGAAACGCAAAGATATATAAAAATTTTCATTTTCGATTTTTTTGCGATTACTATAACTATCCCTACGGGAAGTTAATAATATGAAGATCCAGCTAGTCATTAAATATACATATTCTAACAAAAAAAAAAATTTGCTAAATATGCGTTTGTTATAATAATAAAACAAGTAGCAAATCTGAAGAATGTAAAAAATGCTTGTGGAAGATATAAGCATAAAAAGATTTCAACTTATATTTGCTTAAATTGTAAATATAATAAAAAAAATCCTGATAAAGTTTTAATAATCTTAACACGTACAAGTAACTTTAAATAATAAAGAACATTTAAAAATTAATTTTAAACAAATATCCATTACATATTCTTTCACAATACCGTCATTTTGACTGCTTCAGGGCAATGTAGGTAATATCAAACGTCTTTCTAGTGTTAATTAACTTCCCGTAGGGTAAGTTATAGTAATCGTCCAAAAATCGAAATCAAAAATTTTTACATTTCTCGACGTTTTGAAGGTTTCTGAACATTTTGGCATACCTCAGAAAAAATGGATGTGTGTGTGTGTGTGTGTGTGTGTGTGTGTGTTTTGTATGTCCGCGTTTTTTCGTCCACGTTTTCGGGCGCACGGATCAACCGATTTGAATGGTTTAAAAAACATTCGATTCCTATTGATAGGGAGATGTGCTGATTAGTTTTTGGCAAAGGTAGGTCCAGCCGTTACGGAGATATGGAGCAAAGAGTGCAAAAAATAGAAAGCGAATTTTTGAGAGAACGGATCAACCGATTTGAATGGTTTAAAAAACATTCGATTCCTATTGATAGGGAGATATGCTGATTAGTTTTTGGCAAAGGTAGGCCCAGAGGTTTCGGAGTTACAGAGCTAAATTTAAAAAAAATGGCTGTTTTTGAGAGAACTAAGCGTCCGATTTAAATGATTCAAAGAACTTTCTGCTTTTTTCAACAAAACAATTGATTTTGGAAAAAAAAATTTTTTGTTTCTAATTTTTTTTCAAAAATTTTTTTTTGTAATTTTGGACTAAAAATTCAAAAAATCACCCAAGCTAAGCACAGTCTAAGCGCCACTCTGGTAGAAATGTTTACGCAAGTGCGTTTAGACTGTTTGTGTACTGGAGCACTTTTCCAATTTTGTGAAAATTATTGAAAAATATGAAAATGCCGCCAAACTGAGCACAGTATAAGTGAAAATGTCGCACAGAATTATTTGCAAATGCGTTTAGACTGTGACTATGCGGGAGCACTTTTTCAATTTTGTGTAAATTTAGCAACTATTTTTTTTTTGGAATTTGATTCGAAATGAAATGACGATTGCTAATGTTCTGGAGATCATAAATTGATTTATTTATAATTAACTTTCCATAGGGTAAGTAATCGCAAAAAAATCGAAAATGAAAATTTTTATATATCTTCACGTTTCAGAGGTTTCTGAATATGTTGGCATACCTTGGAGAAAATTGATGTATGTGTGTGTGTATGTGTGTGTGTGCGTGCATGTGTGTGTGTTCGGATACAAATTTTCGTCGACGATTTCGGGAACACGGATAAAGCAATTTGAATAATTCAAAAAACATTCTAGCCGTTCCGAAGATATGGGGCAAAAAGGGTCAAAAACGGTAACTTAGTTTTTAAGAGAACGGAGCGTTCGATTTGTATAGTTCAAAAAACATTTTACTTGTATTAACAAGATGAAGATTTGATCAAATTTTCATGAAGATAGGACTAGCGGTTTCGGAGATCTAGTAAAAAAAACTAAAAAAAAATAACATTTGGCGGTCAACAATAATCATTAGACATTAGACATATGCATATCAAATTATCAGATATTTTATTGAGATTTTTACAATAAGTATAAGTTTTGTTTACATTCCTATGGGTTCCGTACCATTGTTTTTCTGTTAGACAGCGACGCGGCGCTTACGCGCTTTATATTTTGTCTCTATGCAGTTAAAGCAGTACGATTGCTTTGAAAAAAAGTTCAGATCTTCCAAAATATATCAAAATGAAGATAACATTTTTTCCAAAAAAAAATTTTTATAAAAAAAATTGTTTAAAATTTTTTTTTTTTTTAAAAATTTTATTTTCAAAAAAAGTAATTTTTTGTCCAATTTAAAATTTCTAAAAAATCTTATTTTTTCGAAGTAAAATTTTTTCAAAAATGTTAATCGTTTTTAAAAAAATAATAATTTTTGGTACGGGAAGTTGCAGCAATTTGCCTCAAGGCACGATGCCTTAATTGCCTTAAGACAGAATTCCACTTACAGCTAGTTATGTAATTGATGCCGATGTATATAACTAAGAACAATCCTCTGTAAAGTTAAGAATTTTTATTATTGGTCGTTATCAGGTCGTGTATATTACTGCCATATTACTGCTGAATAATATTGGTTTTAATATGAATTCACTTTTTGAA